GTGGAACACAAAACAAAACAAAAAATTGAACCTTTAAATACATATTCAACTTTAATCCAGATTCTCATTTAACCTTTGGGAAACTGATGTTTGAACCTAAGTACAGGATTAGGCATTTGACTGTCTTACGGTTTTGAACTCAGGCATCAGCAACAATGCATCTTCTTAAGATGTTTTGCTTCAGTTGGGACTTTGGTGAACATGCTTTGTTACTAATATTCAAATCGATGATAAAAATGTTGATTAGGCCAGGCCCAAAGCCTGAGTCTCATGGAGTTCTGCTAGAGGCTTTTCTTGACTCTGAAACTGATCATTTATCAATACTTCTGTTTGGCCTAAAATAGAGAAGGAGTGGGCGGACTTAGCGAGACAAAAGGAGAGAGAAATTTATTAGAGGCAAGCTTTACTTCTCAGAATATGACAAAAAACAGATTTCTTTTTCCTGGGGATTGATGTCTTAGGAAAAAAAGTAGAGTTATTATAAGGCCAACTTAATAAATATTAGCTACTTATTTTTAGCATTTCTCATAGACTACACCTGGCGCTCTGTACAACGGTCTTGCTCTTTCATACGGGAAAATCTGCCTTCCCTGCTGATGAGATTAAAGAGCGAAATCCCTGGATACTCAGCCAGCCTGCAAGCCTGCAGTCAGGGCAGCGCCTGATTCCCTGGTACCCTGACTGCAAGAAATTTGTAAGCAGGGTCAACAGCGGCACAAAAGAATTCTGGGAGCTCTGAACGCACCTCCAGCAGTACCGAGAAGGGTGACGTAGGGCTGGAGTTAGGGAGCAGGAGGGTGGGTTTATGGGAGCTCTGTCTCCTCTGAGCTGAAGGAGGGGAGGTGATAAAGGGAGGAAAAGCACGACAGATGCCAAATAAGAGATGGCCAAGGCTGTCACCACTCATTTCACTGTTTGGCCCACATGGCCTCAAGCATGGGGATTGCGGCCACCATCTGAATGATGAACTGACCTTTTTATACCATATTCGCCCTTACGCACTCATGAAGAATCACAGTTTTCTGTTCTCCAGATAGTTTGCTTCTAGATGCGTGATCGAATCCTGCCGATTCCAGCCGATGACTGACAATATATTGATTCAGGGTAAGGCTTCTCTAGAACATGAGTTTGGCTGTTTTCCTGAAACCATGACCAGGCGCCTGGTTGGGACTTGTCTGTAATCCAGTGCCTGATCCAGAGCACACCCTCAGTAAATTTCCGGTGAATTTAAGGGGTAATAAATTCAAATGGCTTCTCAGCAGTCTTTTTAAAAATTCATTTTTATTTCAATTTTTAACAACTTTTTTGTTGTATAATTTCTGTACAGTAAACTACACATATTTCAGATGTACCATTTGATGGATTTTGATAGATGTGTACACCCATGAAATCACCACCACATTCAGGATGCTAACATTTCCATCACTCCCCAAGAGGTGCTAGTCCTGAATTCCCAACTTAACCCTTCCCACCCACTTCCCCCAACCCTGGCAACCATAAGTCTGTTCTCCATGTCTGTGAGTCTGTTTCTGTTTTGTAAATAGGTTGGTTTGTGTCTTTTTTTTAGATTCCTCATATAAGCGATATCACATGGTATTTTTCTTTCTCTTTTTGACTTACTTTATTTAGAATGCTGATCTCCAGGGCCACCCATGTTGCTGCAAATGGCATTATTTTATTCTTTTTTATGGCTGAGTTGTCAACAGTCTCTTGTACCCATTTTCTTGACTCCTGGTCATTCTGCAAATAATTTTGTGGTCATGAACTCTGCCTTTTGTTGTGTGTGATCATAAGATTTGATAGTGGTAAGAGATCATGCTTTGGAATTAGGTTCATGATCAAATCTCCATTTGGGCATTTATTTATAATCTTTGAGATGATGATTTAAAGTTTACTTAAATGAGTCAGTTTATGCATCTGTAAAATGAGAATAATAATACTTCTCACCTTACAGAATTATTATGAGAGGTACTTAAGACTTTTTCTACCCCACCTGACTCAGGATGCTGTTGGCTGCAGGCCACAGACATGAAATGAACATTGGCCTGATTTATGAAGATGCTTGTTGTTAGCTTACAAAGCAATTTATAAGTAGACAGTTCCAGGGTTTTTTGATGGTTCAACAATTTCAGCAGACTCTTTATATGTTTGTGCTCTGCCATCTTGTGTTGGCTCTTCTTCAGTTTATACCTTATGGTGCAAGACGGGTGCTCCAACTCCAGGGCACCATGTGCTCAAGGCCTTGCCCCAAGAAGAATGATGCCAAAGAGCTTCCTTCTCAGAGAGTCTGCCCTTTTATCCTACAATGAAAGCCTCCCATGGACTTTCCCTTATGAATCATTGGCCAGAACTGTGCCCACCCCAAGACCAATCCCTGGCAAAGAGAAATGGATTCTCCATTGACTTAGAATGATCATGATTCATACCCTGGAAGGTGGGGGCGGGGTGCTTGCTTCCTTCTCTGTGATCAAAGTGTCTCTGCCCATAAGAAGGAAGATGGAGAGGACCATCTGCTGGACTGACCGTGAGCAACGTTTGCCATGCCTCCTAAGCACGCTGCCCTCCCTACTGCCTTCGGTCCACCTGTCTTACCCGCCACCCGTGCCTCTGATCTTTGTTTTCTTCTAGAGGTCAAAATCCTAAGTTGATTGATAGTTCTAAAGGGTTAAGAAGCAACCCTCTACAACATGTTTTCTTTGCTTTATTTGCATATTCTATCTCCCTTAATAAAGCATAAAGCCTTGAAGAATGCAGATTGTATCATATTCATTTTTGTCTCTAGTACTGAGCACAAATCCTGGCTGATGGCTTCTGTTCAGAATAAGTTTGTTAAATGAAACGACTGTCTAAGACCAGAAATCTAATGAGAAAATCATGCAGATTGAGGTAGAAATGAGGTTCTAGTTCAATAAAGAACTTATAAATATAGAGTAGGGAAGTGTTTTATGGAAATGCCTGGTAGGTGGAAAATCAGATATTTAGCACCTAACTTGCTGTTGGTTTGCAAAGTAATCTCTTTTGCACCTACAGGCAGCTTCTGCCTGGGAAGGGAGGAGTGGCTGGTGGATGGTGCCAGTCAGATGGGTCTAGCGCAAATGTGCACGTGTGTGAGCAGGTACTGAATCAGGTGGGAATCTTCAATAGTCTGTAACCTGTAACTCTAGTCAAGTGCGTTGGTCTTTTATCGCCTTTTAGCCTTGGGACCTTGCCTTGTTTGTATATGCTCCTCCCCTCCCAGCATACACACAGACGAGTTTAGTGTCTTACTCATGTCTGTATTCCCTCCGAAAATAATGCTAGGCCATTGCACAGGAGAGCTCAGCAAACATTTGTGGCACTGAACTGGATTTCCTCAGGAGAGGAGGAAAACACAATGGTTCACCTGCACGGAGATTCTTCAGCCAGATTTTGGAGGAGCCATTCAGCATTGCTTGAAACTTCAACTCTTATTATGTGGTACTTCTTTTTGTTTGGCTTTGTCTTTTCTACCCTCTCCACTGCTAATTCCTTAAGCACTCCAGCATCTCTGGAGCCATGGGTGATGATTATTGCCTAGGATTGGAGAATCCTTTGAAAAGGCTTTTTTTTTTCTTCTTTTAATCCCATAGGGTGCAGGCAGTCAAGGCTGACATGCTTGTTAAGTCTGTTTCCTCACTCTCTGAATTGCTATATGCTACATGTTCTTGAGGATGAACTGTGAAAACCACTTTCAAAACACAGTCAAAACCACACACTGCACTTTCAGTCCAATTCATTAGATTCCCTCCCACTTGGGACTCTTATGTGCTGGCAGATAAGTCATTAACACCAATTTCCCCAAGAATGAAGGAGGTTGAAATCACGGTGTGACATATTTATTTGATGTACAGTGTGAATATTTTACAAGTTGCATGAGTCATTGGTGGATGGAATGTCTCAAAGTTTACATTATTCTAGGTAAACAGGAAGAGGATGTCTGACTAATAGACTCACAGAGATCAAGATGGAGGTGAGAACGGTAGGCAAGTAAGAAGAGGTCAAGCATGAGTAAGTCAGCAAGCTTTTCCATCCACTGCAACAGAGTCTAGGCTGGGTTCCTTACATGATTCAAGAGCCAGAACCACACATTCTTCTCCTTAGACAACCTCTTCCAAAAGATCAACAACAATGAAGTACATCTGGGAATCGTCAATTAAATCTTTTTCAAATTTAATGTATATGTGTATATAAGGTAGTATTCAGTGAATACTTGAAAAATGTACAAATTGTTCATCCATACCTGTGCATGAGCTGTATTCTTCACAGCTTTTCGTTTTTCCATGTGCCCTTTAGGTTTTTCCATGTGCCAAGGCATCACTCAGGCATGATCCCATGGAAGAAATGACAGAAAGACCTTTTGTTCTGAGCCTAGTGATATTTCTACATTTCTAAAATCCAGCTAAAATCATTGATTCTGACAGTAATCCTGATATTAACCCCATATGCATTATTCTAGCTTTCTAAATATGTCTAGTGCTGAGAGGGTGGATTTGTCTGAGATGGACAAAATGTGAGCCACGTGGAAGAGAAAGCTATTGTGAAACACACGCCTGGATTCTAAAAACCTGACTCCTTCCCTAGTGAACTGACCTTGGCCAATGTATTTAGTCTCTGTGACTCGGGTCCCATTATGTAATAAATTGGAGCATTACCACCTATATCTTAGCATTCA